CACATTCAACGCTGTTGGACGTCTTAGTGGAGTTGCGGCCGACTCATCCAGCTTGCTAACTGATCCAGGTGTTGACATATAAATATCTCCGGTTCCATAAGTTTCCTCGGTTTTTGTTCCTTTTTCTGTTCTTTTTTCCGTAATATAATAAACATGCATTTCTTAATTGTTGTATTAATATAAATATCATGTCATATTATAAACCAATGGGAATAATTGACAAAAAAATCCATCGGTGTATACATAATACCGATGGTTACCGCAGCAAATTTATGACACATTTCATTATAACAATTTTCTTATCAAATAATTAATAATTCGCAATCTATTATAAATCAACTAATATGTAAATGGTTACTTGAGAATCAGAATTTAAATTGCTAACGCATTAGTGCCAAATATATCTTGTTATAACCAAAAATAAAAATGATTTATAATACTGATTTTTTGATAATCTATTAAAAAAATCTCTTTCTCTATATAATTTATATATCTTGGCTCCATTTTACAATATAAAACCATAAAAGGTAATTAATATACATAAATAATATCAATTGACATGTAGCCACGTTACAAGAATCTAAACTTATACGCTTAAAAGATATCGCGCACCTTTCACAACAATTAAATTAAATTTAGTTTTATGTATTTCATTGGTTCAGATACTAAATTATGGATCATCTAACTTTATGATTATCAATCGAGAGCAAAAAAAAAATAAAAAAAATAATTCACGTCCAAAAACTTTAAACGATACTTTTTTTATGTGAACTTTATTAATTAAATAATAAAAATACGTTGAAAATATACTGAAATATATAAACTCAACATATTCAACCTTAAATAAAACTTTTGCTAAATTTTAATACGTAGTAATTCTCATAACCTGAGGATTATTTTCGGAGACTGTAGCATCATTAAATACAGGATTAGATCTAATTTCAGTAGTACCACGACCGGAAACAAGCCTCAATTGAGCATCAGTCCAAATAGGTTTGGGATTAGGTGCATTAATACCGACACCAGCTCTACCGCCTTCGTTTTTCCAATCATTAACTCTCTTAAAACCATTCTTTCTCCAGATAGTTTCTAGAGCATTAACTAAATGATTAGTCATATGTTCATTATGACCAGGAGTAGGAGTAATTCTCAATCTTTCTTCTCCTTTAGCTACCGTTGGATAATTAATCGATTGAACATAGATACCATGTTCACGTAATAATTGATCAGAAGCAACTTTACAAGCTTCAGCTTCACCAACAAGTACAGGTACGATATGAGAAGGATTTGGTACTACAGGAATATTTAATTGAGCCAAGCGACTTTTGAGTAAGCGAGTGTTAAGTTGTTGTTTTTCACGTTCTTTCGTAGATTCTTTTAAATATTGAATAGAAGTTTTGGCTCCGGCAACGACAACAGGTGGATGGAGTTTGACCTTGTAAAGCAGCCATGACGGC